CTGTTTTATTGCAATTTAATGTCACAAACTGATGTAAAACTACAATGTGAAAACTTGATGTAACACTAAAATGTTCCAACTCGTACTACTAAAATGATACAACTTGATGTAAATCTATGTTAAAACATGATGTAACACTAGAATGTTAGAACACTACAGTTACAACTTGATGTAATACTACAATTCTACAAAATATATCTGGGAAGATGGCGCCGTTGTACGTGGCAGGTCGTCTCTCACTCTCCGTACTTTTCATTATTCTGTTGTTTTTAAGTGAAGTCAAGGCACTATTGGTGTATGATCGCCAAACGTTATTAGATCTAAGGCCATTTATCCACAGTGTGGCTGCTTTTAATACATGGGAACATAAAATTCCACCCCAACTTCTGTCGGGTATTCCAGCTCACCTGTGCCGAGCTCCGGCGCTGCCCCACCGGCAGAAACGTCATCGCCGCCGCAGCAAACGCGGTGGACGCCTGGTGAGGCTGAAAGCCTTTTTGTCATGGCGCAACGGTTCCCAGCCAGTTCCTGAAGTGTTTCCTGGCGTGTTTCTACCTTGGCGTTTTCTGGAGCCGGTGGATGCTTGCCTGGTTCGTGTTGTTGGTGAGGATGTCCCCCGACGTCAGCGCCCCTGCCCCCTCCCGGCTCAGCAGGTGTGGAGTGAACCCACTGAACCTGACACAGCTGAGTCGGACCCTCCCTCAGCGCGACAACCCCGATCCAGCTCCAGCCAGGATCGGCTTGGTGAACGCCAGATCGTTGGTCAATAAAACTTTTATCCTGAGGGATTTCTTCAGCTCCCATAACCTGGACTTCCTCTGTATTACAGAGACTTGGCTGAGTGAAGTTGAGTCAGCTGCTCTGTCGGAGCTTTTACCAACAGGCTGCTCTTATTTTAACTCCCCACGATCATCGGGCCGAGGAGGAGGAACTGCAGCCGTGTTTAAAGATGTTTTTAGTTGTAAACAGTGTTTTAAACTGCGTCACTTCACCAGCTTTGAGCTGACCTGCTTTGAAGTGGGCCGCTCTGACCCGACATTCTGTGCTGTCATCTACCGTGTTCCCAAATATAATAGGGATTTTATTAGTGACTTTTCAGATTTTCTTTCTGAAATAGTGACTGGATATGACCATCTCGTTATTATGGGTGATTTGAACATCCACGTTTGTTGCCCAGACAAACCTGTAGTGAACTTAACCTGATGTCAAGACTAAGCCTAAGGTCAAAACTCTTGACCTTAAGAACCTTGTGGGACAGGAACTGTCATTTCATTGATTTGAATCCAGAAATACAGGTTCACCCATCCTGAGACTTTCTTTCTTGAAAATTCAAGTGGAAGAACACTCTCTGTTCTATTATCATTACTATTTTACAAATGTTGATAATCAAAGTGCCTTAGTTCAAACCATTTTAGATGTTGCAGTGAACTAATCAATTTTATTAACTGTGTAATGATTTTTAATTCTCATGCAAAGTTAGAACTCATGTTAAAGCTGTTACAGAGTAATTATGCATTTTCTGATTTCTGTCTTTGAATGAGCAAGTGTGCGTTCCAGGGTCAGGAGTCGAAGCAGACATGCGTTGGAACAACTGTCTTGTTTATATCCTCTCAGACGTCAACAGGGGGGTTTTGGCACCTGTTTCTAAAACTCGCCAAAACAAAACTCTCTCTGTCTGTGAGAACATTTCTGATCTGTTCCATAACAATTCTTGCTGTCTTCTAACCTCTTACGTCACAAAACACACCCCGTCTGGTCGGTTCTGACCAATGGGAAGACTCCCAAATGAACCGGGAAAAGAGCTCTTTAAAATGTCGGTACTTCCTGGTCTACAGAGTTCTGTTCGGTTCTGTGGGTCGGAGAAGTTCGGTTCTGTGAGAGTTGGGATGAGTTCAGTTCTGCGCGGAGAAGCCCAGTTCTGTTGGTTGGAGAAGTTCGGCGGCGCGGACAGTTCTGATATGTCCTAGCGCTGTGCAGTAGCTGTGGGAGCCGGGAAGACCCTGACATGACCACAGAGCTCTTCCGAGTTTCATGGGATTATAACATTTTCCACTGAGGTGAGCTTGTGTCGGACAGAATCTCGCCGCTACTCCGGACGAGTAACAGCATCCTACGGAGACGCTGAAGGGTGCGTTAAACGGAACCTCGCCTGAGACATCTCCAGGTAAAAGAGTCGATTTCACCACCTAAGTGTACTGTAAGGAAGAAGCTGAAGAAAGCCCGGAGAGTGCCGTTCTGTTCAACACTCTCCCTCAAACACCATCCTTACTCCCTTTAACTTCCTTCCCATCTTTAAACTCTTCTCTCAAGTAGAAATTCTTCCAGATATTTTAGAAATGTCTGTGTAAAGTGCTCATCCACCGCCGTGTGGATAAAAAGATCATAATTGTACAGTTTTCATAAATGTCTGTGGTGAAGCAACGGAAAAATCATGGCCGTATGATTTTTCCTGATTGATTGCTTTTGTTGTTATTTTCATAATTTGCCAAATTACTGTAAATGTTTGATGTTAAACTTTGATTCTGTAAATAAATGACCGCATTCATTTTGATGGGTCAAAGATAAATGACGTCTCACGTTTGCATTTCCTTGGATTCGGTGTACGTTTTGTTCAGTCCAGAAAAATGAAGAATCCGTGTTAATTGATGAATATATCTGAGCATCTGTTCATCTACAAACCTCTGGTAAAAGAATTTTTAATTCTCATTGACTCTTTAATCTGGTGCATTCTGTGTCTGGACCTACTCACGATAAAGGTCACACTCTAGATCTTGTGCTCTCTTTGGGATCACCTGTGTCTAATCTGGAAATTCATGATTCTATAATCTCTGATCATATGCCTATAACATTCCAGACTGTTCTCACATATGCTCCTGTAAAAACTCACATTCCTGCTCAGAGCTGTCGGATTATTAAACCCTCCACTGCTGGTCAGTTCACTGAGGTTTTCTGCCAGCTCTGTCCACCTGCCTCAACTGATGCTGAGGATCTGAGTTCTTGGCTCCATTCATCCTGTCTGACTGTGTTGGATACTGTGGCTCCTTTAAAGACCAAACAGCCTGGATTTAAACATGAGCCATGGCTTCAGAACAGAACAGCTCGAGCTGTCAGACAGGAATGTCGCAGAGCGGAACGCAGGTGGAGAAAGGACAAGCTGCAGGTGTCCCTTCAAATTTTTAAAGACTGTTGGCGCAATTACCAGGACACAGTTAAAGCAGCCAAAAAGGACTATTTTTCTAACTTGATTTTATCCCACAGCCACAACCCACGTGTTCTTTTTAGTACCATTGACTATTTTCTTAATTCTCCACAGACACCTGGTTTTGAATCATCTACTCAGTTGTGCAATAATTTTATGCAGTTTTTTATTGATAAGGTCACCTCTATAAGGGCTTCCATCTTATGCCCAAACTTTGACCCCTCTGTGTGTGTCCCCTGCTCTGCTGCTTTCAATCAGTTTGAGCTGGTGACTGTGTCATTTTTAGAGGACATGGTCACTCAGATTAAGCCTTCTGGTTCTCCATATGATGCTCTTCCACCACACTTTCTTAAAGAGGTTTTCCCTTGTTTTAAACACTTGGTTCTTGACCTTTTTAACAGTAGTTTGTTGTCTGGAGTAGTCCCTGCTAATTTTAAACATGCTGTTGTGCAGCCCCTATTAAAAAAAAACTGGTCTCGATCCCACTGTGTTGGGGAATTTTAGGCCCATCTCTAAGCTTCCCCTCCTGTCAAAAATCTTGGAGAAAATTGTTTATGCTCAGTTAAAATCCTTCCTGGATGAACATAACATCATGGATGTGTTCCAGTCTGGATTTAAAACTCTCCATAGCACAGAGTCAGCTCTGCTGAGAGTTTTTAATGACATCCTCCTGGCATGTGACTCAGGTGATCATGTGATTCTTGTTTTACTGGACTTAACTGCTGCGTTTGACACAGTGGACCACAGCATTTTATTGTCACGTCTACAGCATCAGGTAGGCATTGGTGGGACTGCTCTGGAGTGGTTGGGGTCCTATCTGACTGACAGAACTTTCTCTGTAAAAACTGCTGGGCATGAATCCTATTCTGCTCCCTTGTCATGTGGCGTACCTCAGGGATCAATTTGACTTTTGACACAGTGTGATTTGTTTTGTACCCGTCTGTATTCTACAATGTTACCCATTTTGTTATTATATTTTTTCCATTTGGATCTATGTACTTTTTGCTGTGTGCTTTGCTTGTTTGTTTCTGCTGTACAGCACTTTGGTTGGCCTTGTCGCTGTTTTAAGTGCTCTATTAATAAAGTAGTATGGTATGGTACAATGTAACAAGTTTTACAAATGGATGTAACACTACAATGTTACAAGTTTATCTTGAACAGTGATGATATATGTACGGTTACTTTAATTTTTTTAAGTTTAGATGTTTTATGTTTCTAGTGATGGTGAAACAAAGTGCCCCATGGAGATTTTCTTGAACTTGAACTGGGTCAAGTTTGAAAGAATGTCTTGGCGGCATTAGCTGCAGTGTGAATGTAGCCTGAGTCAGCAGTCAGCAGCAAAGTGTGGGAGAATTAGCACCCCCTCTGAGGGCAAAGACACCCTGGTGAGGACAGATGAGTCCAGGTTTGTTTTTTTTTCAGGTCTAAACGTTGAACATGAATGAATGTAACTTGAGAAAAAATAATAATACAATTATGACATTTAAATTAGATTATTTTGAAAATCACTGCAGACAAAGAACATTAACATTACTGGTAATTCTATTTTAGCTGTTTTTAAAAAAGTCCAACCAAGGACTGGGTTTGCAAATTAGCCTGTGGCTAGAAAACCTATGTAAAAAACAACAGTTGCATTGTTTTTAATCATGCAACATTGTTTATTGTTCCGTCATTGATCAAATAAACATGAATGAATTAATGAATTCAGGTACCTGCAGACGCCCACCTCAGTACTGAGTCGGAGACAACACAAAGACACATTCCAACAAATAAACGTCTGGATGACAGCTTCTCTGCAGACCTTGTAGTTTCTGTGGGAGTTCATCTTCCTCCTTTGGCGCTGGCTCGTCATTGGCTGGATCTTATGCCCCTCCTCTTCTTCTTCCAGCTCTGGCAGCATCACTTCCTCAAAGCTCCCAGTGACTCCGCCCCCTGACACCTGGCCACTTCCCTCTCCACCTTCTCCTTCCTCGAGCCAGTGGGTTTCTTCAAACTGCCCCGGGTGAGCAGGAGGTGGGCGGAGATCATCAAAAAATACCCAGAATTCAGCTTGTAGGTGGGTGTGGCCTTTCAGAAGTGTTGCCATCTGAGTTTTCAACTGAAAGCAGGAAACAGCTGCTGTTCAATGGATGCTGTCAACAGAGTAAACTGGACAACATCTGGTTGAATCTGGACAATAATGTGTGAAACCACCGGACCTCCTGGATGCTGGTTGGGCTCAGGTCTGGTCCAGTCTGCAAGGCTTTGATGATCCTCTGATAATGTGATGGATTATCTCCAAAACTGATCTCCAGCTGTCGAAGGAAACGCCGACTGCGTTCAAATGCCTGCTGCTCTGCGAACTGCACAGACAGGAGAGAAGACCTGACAGGTTCTACGAACTGTCCCACAACCTGTCCAACTGTCCCACAACCTTTCCACTTGTCCCACAAGCTGTTCACCTGTCAACTACCTGCCCAACTGACCCACAACCTATCCACTTGTCCCACAAGTTGTCAAACTGTCCAACTACATGTCCAAATGTCCCAAAACCTGTCCACCATTCCAACTACCTGTCCCAAACCTGTCCAACTATCCCATAATATGTCCAACGGTCCAATTACCTGCTCACCAACTGTCCCACAACCTGTACATGTCAAAAAACTTGTCCAACTATCCAATAACTTGTCCACCTCTCCCACAACCCATTCAACTGTCCCACAACCTGTCCAGCTACCTGTCCACCTGTCCAACTACATGCCTAACTGTCCCACAACATGTCCACCTATCCTACAACCTGTTCATCTGTCCCACAACATGTCCAAATGAATGTCCAACAACCTGTCCACCTGTCCAACTACCTGCTCAGCAACAATATCACAACATGTTCAACTAAATTCTCAACAAATTCTCATGTCTTTAACATCCCACAAACTGTCCAACTACATGCCTACCTGCACCACAACCTGTCAAACTACCTGTCCAACTACCTGCACACCAACTGTCCCACAACCTGTACATCTGTCCAACAACCTTTCCATCTGTCAAAACACCTGCTCACCATCTGCCCACATACTGTCCCCCTGCTCACCAGTCCACATTGCAGTGCCTGCTCTGGATGAAGGAAAGCAGCAAAGTCTCTGAGGAGTTCTGTGTGGTTTCCCAGGATGCAGTGGAGCTTCCTGAACAGCAGAGTGACTTCATGTCCATCGTCCACCTGTTCAAACTTGTTCAGCAGAGACACAAACTCCTCAACCTGCTCAGGTGCATCCTGAAGTGCCACACGCACCTGTCGACACACAGTAAATTATCATGAGTCCTCAAACGAGCTAAGAAAAAGTAGTAGAAAGTTACGGTGTCAATCAGTTCAAGTAACAAGCGAGAGTCTCACCATGTTGAGGTAACGAGCGAGTGCCTCACTATTTTCAGGTAATGAGTGTGCTTCATTCTGTTTAGGTAACAAGTGCGAGTCTCACCCTGTTCATGTAAAGAGTGAGTGTCTCACTCTGTTCAGGTAACAAGTGAGTGTCTCACTCTGTTCAGGTAACAAGCGATTGTCTCACTCTGTTCAGGTAACAAG